TCTGTCCATGGGCTTTTCCAGACATGAACACTGGAGTGGGTTGCTATAGCACTGAGAACTCTCCTCAGTACTCTGTAATTGCCTATTTGCAAAAGGAATCTTATAAAGAGGTGATATATGTACATGTACAACTGATTCACTTTGCCATACAGTAGACACTGGCACAGCACTGTAAATCAACTATACTCCAATAAATTTTTTTTAAAGAAAATGCAAGGGCCACAGATCAATTCTGTCAGGGAACTTGGGCACCACTGACTGGACAAGGCTTGAAAAGTGAGAGTAATATGGAAAACAGATCCTTGTCTTCTTGCCTGATAATAAAGTCCCCATTGAGTGAAGCCTCCAGTATTCATGGGCTTCCCTGTGTCTCAGCTGGTAAAGAATCTGCCTGCAGTGCAGGAGACCTGGGTTCGATCCCTGGGTTGGGACGATCCCCTAGAGAAGGGAAAGGCTAACTACTCCAGTATGCTGGCCTGGAGAATTCCATGGACAGTACAGTCCATGGGGTCGCAAAGAATCAGACACAATTGAGCGACTTTCACTTTCACTTTACTATTTGCTAGGCACAATGTGAAGGGCTCACATGGATTATCATCAAACTTTATAATAATCCTGTCTTTCTAAATGAGCAAAGGTTGAGAGAGGCTTAACACTAGCTCAGTTAGAGCTTGCCAAGGCTGGAAAACCTAGGAAAATTACTATCCCAGGAAATCTATTAATCTAACTGCTGGGAGAAATATGGGAATTAAAGAACTAAAATCAAACTCATAGAGTTCAAGAATTAAGTGAGATATTTAAATAGAGTGGAAAGCAGCCAACAAAAGATCAATGACATTCTTATTATCTCCATTTATTCACTCTACCAAAAAATGATTATAGGTATAGAGCTTATTATGTGCCAGGTATTCTTCTTATGAGAATTTTAGGAATATTAGCTCATTTCATCCTCATAACTTCCCTAGAGTCCAAGCACTACTGTTATCCTCACTTTAGAGATGGAGGAAATAAGTCACAAGAAGATAAAAGTAACCACAGGGGGAGTAAATTCATACATCTGTTAAGTGGCAAAGCCAGGATTTGGACCTGGTAGAGGGAGATGCATGCTCTTCACTACTAGACTGGCCACCTCTCAAAAGGCATGTTACTGAAGTGGGGTATCTAGTGGGAGCCACAGAAACTTTGATACTTATCTTCATTTACAATAGAGCCCCCCTTCTGGACCCTCCAAGCCCAGAAAATAGGCTGGGAAAAACCAGAATAAGATTCTTGATTCCTGAGATTGGGGGTGGGAGTCTGGTGTCTAGAATATGAACTTAGAGGGGAAGGGGTTGGTCACAGGGAGCAGGAAAGCTGTCTTTGGGGGCAGCCACTGACTCTCCCTGGGAAGGCAGAGACCTCCTCCTTCTGAAATCTCCTGGGTCAGGGAGGAGTGGGCCAGCCTGGCACAGATAAGCCCACCCTCCCCTCAGTGGTCTCTTGACAGGAAGGGCACCTCATGGATTTGCCTCTCTTCTTACCTTGGTCATCCCACGGAGGACCATTCTACGGGCTTCTAAAAGCATCACAGTTGATCTCAAGACAAAATACGGACCATAAATACTACGTGTGGCAGGAGTCACTATATAATCTCCCCCTCCCTATTTTATGGCCCTTTATTTGAAAAATAAGTACATATTTTTCTTAATCAGTTGGGTGCAATTGTAGGAAAAATGACTGCTTTCTTGATTTTGTCATTTCTAAGTTTATTGGCTGACTTCTTTTTTGAACACTGTATCATCTCTTAAAACATTTTAACTAAAAGCGCCGCTCCTAACAACATCTCTAAATGAAGGCAGCTACTCAGCTGCTCAGTGGGACTGGACACTGGATTCCACATCTGCCATCACTGTACTACGCAGTGGCCTCTATTCAGAACAACAGGCTCGAGCACTCATCGCTTTGTACCAACATTTCAGCCCCTTGTTGTCCAGTGAGGCACATCGTTTTGCTCCCCAGAAACAGAAACACAATGAAAAGGACTCCTCAGCCAAATATGTAATTGTGGTCCTTTTGAAAAAGCATGAAGATTCTGGCAATTAGTAAATTCTACATGACAAGAATTATTAACTGCTTTGGATGCAGCCAACACACTTTCGGTAAACAGTTTTAATGGACCAGTCACAATACCCCATTCAGCCTTATTTTGACAACACTGTAATTTACAGCAATCAAGGTTGGCAGTGGACTAATAGGTCAGGCCAGCCACAGGCTGTGATTATACCTTCCCAGGAACAGCAGGGGAATACCCTGGCCTGTTATTGATGTGTTCACATGAATCAGTGCAATACCAGCAATACTCCTGTATTAGGTTGTAGATGTTTTCTTTGCACGTACACCTTTGTCTTTCTTTTTTGGGGGGTCCTAGCCCTCCCTTTTGATTAGCAGTTATTATAATAAAGGAATAATATATTTTTTTATTTCCACCCAGCTGCTCCTGAGAGTATTATATACAGAATTAGAAGCTAAATAAGGGCCTCCCAGGGGGTGCAAATGCTAAAGTGGTACAGGAGACATAAGAGATGCGGGTTCAATCCCTGGAATGGGAAGATTTCCTGGAGGAGGGCATGGCAACCCACTTCAGTAGTCTTGCTTGGAGAATCATATTGATAGAGGAGCCTGGCAGGCTACAGTCCATAATGTTGCAGAGTTGGACATGACTGAAGTGACTTTGCACACATGCATGCAGAAGCTAAATAAACCTAAAGTGTGACTATGAGCTAATTAAGTAGTTTTGGAAATACAGTTAGCAAAATGGTTGTATTCAAATGAGTGTTTTCTGCTTTCAAATAGTTATCTTCAGAGATGGTAGGTTTGCTTATACAAAATCTTGAATTCTTTTTTTTTTTAGAATCATATATTATCAACAAATGAACAGTTTTGATATCTGGAGCTGGTCAGGAAAATTCTGCATAGAAACTAAGTATCACATAGTATCATTCATTCTCAGTGGGGACAATGAAGACTGGTTCTGGGGTGGAGTGAGTAAAAAAAATCTCACCCTCTTTATGTCTAAAGCACAGATATATTCAGAGTACATAAATAAATACATGGTATATCTGTCCTAAGATCACATATTATATAATTCTTTCATATGAAATGTTCAGAAAGGCAGATCTCTGGAAATATAAAGTGGATTAATGATTATCTAGGGCTGGGAAGATTGCTGGGAGAAATATCAATAACCTCAGATATGCAGATGACACCACCCTTATGGCAGAAACTGAAGAAGAACTAAAAAGCCTCTTGATGAAAGTGAAAGAGGAGAGTGGAAAAATTGGCTTAAAGCTTAACATTCAGAAAACTAAGATCATGGCATCTGGTCCCATCACCTCATGGGAAATAGATGGGGAAACAGTGGAAACAGTGTCAGACTTTATTTTTTTGGGGCTCCAAAATGACTGCAGATGGTGACTGCAGCCAAGAAATTAAAAGACGCTTACTCCTTTGAAGGAAAGTTATGACCAACCTAGATAGCATATTAAAAAGCAGAGACATTACTTTGCCAACAAAGGTCCGTCTGGTCAAGGCTATGGTTTTCCCAGTGGTCATGTATGGATGTGAGAGTTGGACTGTGAAGAAAGCTGAGCCCTGAAAAATTGATGCTTTTGAACTGTGGTGTTGGAGAAGACTCTTGAGAGTCCCTTGGACTGCAAGGAGATCCAGCCAGTCCATCCCGAAGGAGATAAGTCCTGGGTGTTCATTGGAAGGACTGATGCTGAAACTGAAACTCCAATACTTTGGCCACCTCATGCAAAGAGTTGACTCGTTGGAAAAGACTCTGATGCTGGGAGGGATTGGGGGCAGGAGAAGAAGGGGACAACAGAGGATGAGATGGCTGGATGGCATCACCAACTTGATGGGCATGAGTTTGAGTAAACTCCAGGAGTTTGTCATGGACAGGGAGGCCTGGCGTGCTGCGATTCATGGGGTCGCAAAGAGCTGGACACGACTGAGTGACTGAACTGAACTGAACTGAGGGCTGGGGAATTAAGGTAGGGACCTGGGATGATGATAATGCATGCAGGGTTTATTTAGGAGTTGATGAAAACATTCTTAAATTATTGTGGGGATGACTGTATAATTCTGGGAATATACTAAAGGTCATTTGCCTGTACTGGAGAAGGCAATGGCACCCCACTCCAGTACTCTTGCCTGGAAAACCCCATGGATGGAGGAGCCTGGTAGGCTGTAGTCCTTGGGGTTGCTAAGAGTCAGACACGACTGAGCGACTTCACTTTCACTTTTCACTTTCATGCATTGGAGAAGGAAATGGCAACCTACTCCAGTGTTCTTGCCTGGAGAATCCCAGGGACGGGGGAGCCTGGTGGGCTGCCATCTATGGGGTGGCGCAGAGTCGGACACGACTGAAGTGACTTAGCTGCAGCAGCAGCATTTGTACACTTTCAATGGGTGAATTTTATGGTGTGTGAATTATATCTCAATGCAATTAAAACAAACACTTCCCTCCTTAAAAATAAAGTCATGAGGGAGGAGGACAGTTAGGAAAGAGCCTCTAAAAAGGCTCTTAAGGAGCCATTTCCTTCTCCAGCAGATCTTTCTGACCCAGGGATCGGACCCAGGGATCGAACCCAGGTCTTCATTGCATGCAGATTCTTTACTCTCTGAGCCACCAGGGAAGCCCAATGAAAAAAAGAAAAGAGAAACACTGCCTTGCACCAAAAAAGTGAATTTCATCTTAAATCTCTGTATTCCCAGTTAAAACATCCATGATGAGAGTTCATCCTCAATTAGCCTGAACAGTTCTTGGGTTATTCCTACCCAAGCCAGGTAATATCCTCTGGGCCTCACCAGGAGGTAGAGTCTGAAATTAGTTTTGCTGCCCAGAATCTGGTCTCTAAGAGAAGTGCGGCTGAGAAAAAATTTTAGAAGAGGAGGATGGGTGAGAGGGCTGATGAAGGATGAATAACCCTGGTGTCCCTTTTAGCCCCTGGGCTCACCTCACTCCAGTTGCCCACTGTCCAGTCTGATGGACACAGGATGTCTCTGTTGCAGGACACGAGGGTCTTGGGCTTTAGCAGATGCTGGCAGTCTTGAGCCGGGAGAGCCTGCTCATCTGAGCCCATGGTCTGGATGCACAGCACTGTTCGCGTCTTCTCTCCGTGGGGCCCACATGTTGCGGAACATGCTTCCCACTCCCCTGTCCACCACCTGCAGACACACAGGGACATGTGAGAAAAGATCAGCGCGAGTCAATAAACATGCGCTTCAACCACTGGATAGAAATCCGGAGCAGAAACGCAGATTATAGAGCTGGGAGGTCCCCGAAGATGTTTCAGCCCAGTAGAGGGCGCTCTGCAGACAGGGCCATGGCTAGCTTGTTCAATCACAGCTAGGGAACTCCACAGAACACTTGGCCTAAGTAGATGATAAGTAAGCATGTCTTTAAATGAAAAAAAAAAAAAAAAAAACAACCCTCCCCCTAAATCCCCTCTTTCCTCAGACAAGAAAACTGAGGTCCAATTTTTATTGCGAAACCTCAAGCAAGCTTAAGCCTTACTCTCCACATCTGTTGAATGGCTGTAAAATATTGACTTTAAATGAGTGTCATTCATGTACTGAAATACCAATTTATGCACAGTGCATAGAACAGAACCTGACATATTACAAGCTCAATCATTTGTAATTGTAATTATTGTTGTTTTAACTGCTGCTATTGACTAAAAGAATCCAATTAGAATCTAAGTCTCCTGGCTCCTAACTGAATATTTTTCTGTTTCAATATGATTTTCAGCTATGTAGAAGATGAATTTTCAGCGGCATTGTCATCATTCTCTCCCTCCTCCATCTCCTTCAGCCTACCTGTGAATATTCTCACTGGTCGCTTCAAAAGAAAGAAGTAGGAAAACAAGAAAAGTATTAAATAAGATAATCTCTTGGTTTTTTGTCAGCTGTTCTTGATAAGTTGAATCGTTAAAACTGTTGGCTAAATTAATATTCTGGATTCTCTATGGAAAAATGAAGATATGTGATTTTCCTCTACCTGCTATCATGGTTGATGGCCTCAAGGTTCTAGGATGTGGGGCCCAGTGGTTACACTAAAGCCACTTTTGAAAGTGCCAAGGAACCCTCTTCGGAGCCGTCTCCTTTCCTCCTTCTTCATCATTGTCCAAATCTTCCTCAATATCAAATAGAGAACAGGTGTCTTGACCTAGTGCACTTTGGGTCCACCATTGCTTAGCTGCATAGTCTACTTATTCATCCCTCCACGCAGGGATAAAATAGAATATTTGTTTTTCATGGGAAAACAGTATAGCATGTGAATTCCCTCATTCTTCACTTTAAAGAAATCTTCTGACCTTGAGATAGTATCAAATTTTGAAGCAGGTTAAACTGTGTGCTATTACTTATGTTTACAAAGTATTAGATTTGAGTAGAACTTCTTTGACTCTCATACTTATAATCTCTGGTTAAAAATACTAGAAGAAAGCTTTTTCCTCAATTCTACTATATTCTTCAGTTATAAGTAATTAAGATTACTTATTTAGTCCCTGGTATTTAACATCTGGTCATCTTGTGTAGATAAAGAGCTAATATTGGGACCATATGATGTGACACCAAATAAATGCCCTCTGTGTTAATCTAATTACTCTGTCCTACCTCTGACATTTCTATGGGAGGCCAGATACACTATCAATTAAATCAAATGCCATTCTGGAAGGGCCTTAATATGAGCTGACTGAAAGTCTAATTTATCTAACTACTTACTACAAGGCTTTCAGCTATGTTACTACAAGGTGATAATAGACTTCTTTGTTTCTCTTTCTGAAGTTGCCTTCACAGACTCCTGGGGACATCTTGCATACGTTTGCTCCTAGTGTAAGGTGAAATCCACCCTCTTTATTTCCCTGCAAAGGTCTTCCAGGCCCAGGACTCAGGAGCTATTGCCACACTGTTCTCTGTTGTCCAACTCATTATTTTTGGTGTCTGCTATAATCCTACCTCTTAGAGGAGATTTATAAAAGAATCTTGTTTTATATTTACATTTATAGGAGATTTATAAGAGAAGACTGTTTACGTGCTCCGAGTGATAGCTGAGAAGCACAGTATAACATTCCAAGAACTCAGTAGGACAAAAGGCCCAGACCACGCATTTATTCACCACCCCCTGAAAGGCAGCCTTTCTCGTTTAATCAGCATAAAATCAACAACAATCTAATCCAACTTTTTCCATTTTTGCTATTAATTTTTCTCTTGCCAGAATGTCCATGATATCTGTCATGCCTAAAGTACAAGTGGATAACTGACCATGCATTTTCTTATACTGGGTTGTTTTTTTTCTGTCTCTATAATAGTCAATCTGAACATTCCAGGTATTAGGTAAAAGTCCTAAGGATCTCGCTTATATCAGTGATTCTCACTGTATCATCACTTGGGAATATTTTAAAAGGTATCAGCTCTCAGTTCAGGCTCCCTTGCTACACTGGATGGCCAGAATCTCTTGAGGTTAGTGCCAAGGCATCAGTGTTAAGAATTCTTTGATGACTTTCATATAGAGTCAGGATTAAAAACCACTGGTGTTATGATGGGCTTCCCAGGTGGCATTAGTGGTAAAGAACCTGCCTGCCAATGTGGGAGACATGGGTTTGATCCCTGGATTGGAAAGATCCTCTGGAGGAGGGCATGGCAACCCACTCTAGTATTCTTGCCTGGAGAATCCCATGGACAGAGGAGCCTGGCAGGCTACAGTCCATAGGATTGCACAGAGGTGGGCACGACTGAAGTGACTTAGCACACATGCATGGTGTTATGATACCAGAAAAATGAATTTGATTGTTTATCTTGAAGTTTTTTCCATAAAGGATGGACTCTGTAGATTTAGTATGCTATTAGGACAAAGATTAGTACAAAGATAGTAGTTATAAAAATTGATATTTTAAAGGAAATTTCTATTCTAAGCAAGCATTTAAAAAAATCAGATTAAGACTTACTGTTTTCTGAGTAATGAGGATTAGAAAGAGTTTAATTTTGTATTTTATTGGTTTATTGGTAGTCAGAACTTCCTGAGCAAGCACTGGTATGGGTGTGGGTAGAAGATACAGATCCTTCTGTTTGAAGGATGTCCAAAGTACAGTAAGCTTTTCCAGGGTAACTATAAGCTCTTTGATGGTCTTAAAACACACACACATTCCTATATCTTATATAATTCATACGAAAATTATAGTATGCTTCACTGATCTTTATAACAGTGTAGCCACATTCTCACTGTATTCATCCCCTGATTTTCTCTAGTTTCCTTGTTATCCCCCACTTACACCACACTCATTCCTCTCCCCACTCCCATGGACTTTTCCCAGTCTTAATGACCCCTTTCTTGTCATTTATGCCTTTGAACTGTGGTGCTGGAGAAGACTCTTGAGAGTCCCTTGGACAACAAGGAGATCAAGCCAGTCAATCTTAAAGGAAATCAACCCTGAATATTCAGTGGAAGGACTGATGCTGAGGTTGAAGCTCCAAGACTTTGGCCCATCCAATGTGAAGAGCAGAGTCATTGGAAAAGACCACGAAGCTGGGAAAGATTGAAGGCAGGAGGAGTAGGGGACAACAGAGGATGAGATGGTTGGATGGCATCACTGACTCTATGGACATGAGTTTGAGCAAGCTCTGGGAGTTGGTGATGGACAGGGAGGGAAGCCTGGCATGCTGCAGTCCATGGGGTCGCACAGAGTCAGACATGACTGAGTGACTAAACAACAATAGATTGGTGCTTCTCACCCAATGGAGATTCCCACAGCCACCTCCCCAGGGGACATTTGGGAATATTTGAAGGCATTTTTGGTTGTCACAAATGGGGGAGGTGTGCTCTTGGCATCTAGTGGATAGAGAACAAGGATACTGAGAAATATTCTACAAGGCACAGGGTGGCCCCCACAGCAAAGAATCAGCCAGGCAAAAATGTCTCTAGTTCTCAGGCTGAGAAACCTGGATTTAAATCATGAGGCATTCTTTTTGCACGAAAACCTACACGCAGCTGCCAGGCTGGAAAGCCCTGTTATAGGAATTTATGGAGCATTTAAATACACAGAGCACCATCACAGCTGAAGCCTGGCCGAACGTTTGCTTTCCTGTAAACTAAAGTTCAGAGAGAAGTCCATAGAGAGAAGAGACTCAAATAACCTCTTTCTGGAGTCAGATACACTTTCAATTCCAAAGAATTTCTTTCTTGACAGGCTACTCCATCCTGGAGGGTGGCGTGCAAACTTTCATTCTGGAAGCCATTGACCATAAAATACAGATTTCTTACATTAAGATTAATAGAAGCTTTTTATTAAATCCTTTTAAAAAGCTGTCTTAAGTACCCATTTGGGAAAGAACACAGAAGGTCCAGATTGGGTATAGAAGCAAATTATTACTGAAGGACAATAACCCAGAAATAAAAAGATTAAATCTTGCATATGAAATCATTTTAGGAGCGGAAATGACAGCCCTGAACAATGGTATGAACTTTTCAGATAGCATGAAAATTAGGTGACAGAGGAAGATGTTGCAACTTGAAATTCATATCTAAGGAAACTACTGGACTAGTTTTTCAAAGACAAATAATATTAAGATAGCCATCGACATTTATTATTCTTTAAAAAAGCAAATTAACTTAATTTCCTTTCTTTAATCCCCTTGTGAGTTTGCAGGCATGATTTAGTTTTAAAGTTACTTTCTGCTTATTCATAACTTTTTCATTGTGTTTTAATGTGTGAGAAATATTTTAAATTTGGATTTCCGGTTTCAGCACCAAAACGTGCTCATCCTGAGATCCTGGGCAGCAGCACGGTGTACCAGCACCAGCACAGAACACTCAGTAGGTTCATCCAGGTTCAAATCTAGACTCTACTGCTTCTGCTAAGTGATTTGGGAAGAATCTGAGGACTTTCAAAAAAGCAAGAGAGTTTCAGAAAAACATCTATTTCTGCTTTATTGACAATGCCAAAGCCTTTGACTGTGTAGATCNAGAGTCCCTTGGACTGCAAGGAGATCCAACCAGTCCATCCTAAAGGAGATCAGTCCTGGGTGTTCATTGGAAGGACTGATGCTGAAGTTGAAACTCCAATACTTTGGCCACCTCATGCAAAGAGTTGACTCGTTGGAAAAGAGTCTGATGCTGGGAGGGATTGGGGGCAGGAGGAGAAGGGGACGACAGAGGATGAGATGGCTGG